CAGAGTCTTATTATTGTATGCAGATTTGTATCTGATGCAATGGCCCCGTGCTTAGAGTCCAAAGAGTCTGGTCTTGCGGATAGGCCTGAAATGGTTGCCTGATAAAATCTCTTCTGCGTGCACCTGAATTTCCCAGGAAAGGCATACACTGCTTTATGCTCTGTACATTGCTTTGGATTCAAACATCCTCTAAGATAAACATCAGTCTGTTTTTCCAAAGCATGAGATGCCTGTGGGAACTGCCCAGATTGTCCAAACAATGGTGTAGGGGGAGGTCAAGGAACATTGAGGGAACATGGATGTAAGTATGTTAGAAGAGGCTGCATAATGCAAATCAGCAGGCAAGTTGGAATCGAGACTTGATTTGCACTTTTTCAAGTTTGCCTTTCTTTCTGATGCACTTACACACAAAAGAGGGGGGTGGGGCACTTCCAGACTGTTTTCAGATGGGATTCAATCATGTTCCAGCAAATTCAGATTGCACAGTTACAGTGGTTCCTCGAGTTAAGAACTTAATTCGTTCTGGAGGTCCATTCTTAACCTGAAACTGTTCTTAACCTGAGGTACCACTTTAGCAAATGGGGCCTCCCGCTGCTGCCGCACGATTTCTGTTCTCATCCTGAGGTAATGTTCTTAACCTGAGGTACGACTTTAGCAAATGGGGCCTCCCGCTGCCACTGCGCGATTCCTGTTCTCATCCTGAGGTAAAGTTCTTAACCCGAGGTACTATTTCTGGGTTAGCGGAGTCTGTAACCTGAAGCGTCTGTAACCTGAAGCGTCTGTAACCCGAGGTACCACTGTAAAGTTGATTAGGAAGCAGTGGTGGAGGAACGGGGTGTGGGGGGTGCGGTTCATCCCAGGTGTCATCACTGAGGGTGTGTGTGACAAAATGAGGTGTTCTTTTTTTTAAAAAAAAAAAGGGCTCACGGAACTTTTTAGGAATGACGTGGTGGCTTAGGTGCCTGCAGGTTCTGCGCTGCCTGAAACGGCAGAGAGAGACTTGCCTCTGCCTACTGCCTCTCCCTCAGTTGTCCTACAGCTGAGGCGGCGGAGAGGCTCCGCGCGGCCGAGAGGCTTGCCCTGCCCCCATGGGCAGATCACCCCGCCCCTGGCTGCAGGACACTCCCCCTGCACCAGGCAGCCGGGCGGCTAGCTACACCGCTGTTAGGAGGTCTTGTGCAACAAACCCACTTCCACCAAACATCAGACTTTTTGCAGTAAGTGACAGGGAAACGCTCTGGAAGGAGTGGGATAACGCTTGCTTCATTGTTGCAAACAATGCTCATTAAAGAGCCAATGCCATCTAATCTCCTTGGTAACAAATCAGGACGAATGCTCAATAGACAGGTCATCTGGAAGTGGAGAGAGAGAGAAATATCCTAAAACTTTTGGTCTCAAGTCCATGATCACTGCAGACGGTGACAGCAGTCACGAAATTAAAAGACGCCTGCTTCTTGGGAGAAAAGCAATGACAAACCTAGACAGCATCTTAAAAAGCAGAGACATCACTTTGCCAACAAAGGTCCGTATAGTTAAAGCCATGGTTTTCCCAGTAGTGATGTATGGAAGTGAGAGCTGGACCATAAAGAAGGCTGATCGCCGAAGAATTGATGTTTTTGAATTATGGTGCTGGAGGAGACTCTTGAGAGTCCCATGGACTGCAAGAAGATCAAACCTATCCATTCTGAAGGAAATCAGCCCTGAGTGCTCACTGGAAGGACAGATCCTGAAGCTGAGACTCCAATACTTTGGCCACCTCATGAGAAGAGAAGACTTCCTGGAAAAGACCCTGATGTTGGGAAAGATGGAGGGCACAAGGAGAAGGGGATGACAGAAGACGAGATGGTTGGACAGTATTCTCGAAGCTACCAGCATAAGTTTGACCAAACTACGGGAGGCAGTGGAAGACAGGAGTGCCTGGTGTGCTCTGGTCCATGGGGTCACGAAGAGTCGGACACGACTAAACAGCAACAACAACCTGATCTGCATAGGGGAGCCCACTTTGAAACATCATGTTGTATTGCGCATAAGGAGAAAGAATGAAAAATGGGTTTGAGCTGGCAAAAGTATGGTGAAAATATAATTCCCTATGATCCTTGGACGAAGGGTGCTGTATAAATTTAATAAACAAAATGAAATAAGAAATAGATCTTTTTTTCTTTGTGATTTTGTCTGCACTGGGAATGGCTCATATTGTTGAAGGATTTAAATGGCATGAAAAAATGTACTAGGTAATTTTGCAGATTTATTTCGTTCTGCATTGTTCCCACACACCTACCTACAATACAGCATATCTGATCTCCGCATTACAGGTATCAAAGCAGTCTCTTTCCCCCTGTTCACCGTGGCATTGCTTTAATTTCACAACTCAGTAGTCCAAGCACTTCCTGAATTCCTAAAAAGAATTGAATAATTGATCCACGATAATTAATGGATGCACCACGCTAGATAAGAACAGTAACATGATACTAGTTAATACACCGGGCAACTTTGGGGAATGAAGTTGTGTGCTTTGCATGCCATTAATTTTCATTAACTCTTCTCACATCAACACTGTCGCATTCCGAAAGACGCTTCAGGGCACTACAGCCAAGGTGCTTCGGAGTTAAGCATCATTCTGGTTTGAGTGCATGCTGCTACCATATGGCGGGGGGAGATCACAAATAAAAAAAGTTTGAGCAGGGCTGGTCTGAAAGAGACAGTTGTATAGGACTCGGTGGACTGAGCAATGCAAATCCCTCTTTTAGCAGGCTGGGGGAGCGGTGTGGATTGGGCACATGTTTTCCTCTGGCTAATCCATCCTCCCACTGTTGGCACAAACTCCCCACTTCCACCTGCTGAATGTGTAGGCAAGCAAAGATGCTGCTGGTGGGATCACTGGCAATGGCAGTCAGCAGAAAGCCCCCAGTTGGGGTTCCCCTAGTATGGGGAGGGACTGAGCAAGCATGGAATCTGTTGGATCCTGAGCTGAATCTTATTCCACCAGGTAACAGTATCTGGCCCAATTTGGGCCCGATTGCTGCAACAGCTCTAGGGTGGTGCAGAGATATGCCTGTGCCCCACCCCATCTTCTGCCCCAGAAGCTCTGATTATATGTTGTTTTATATTTGTAAGATGCTGAACCTGTCTTTGGACAAGAACATGCGAGTATTTGGAAATAACATTATTTGTTTTTGTGTCTGTTTGTTAGTACAGTGGTACCTCGGGTTACATACACTTCAGGCTACATACGCTTCAGGTTACAGACTCCACTAACCCAGAAATATTACCTCGGGTTAAGAACTTTGCTTCAGGATGAGAACAGAAATTGCACAGCGGCACAGCAGCAGCAGCAGCAGCAGCAGCAGCGGGAGGCCCCATTAGCTAAAGTGGTGCTTCAGGTTAAGAACAGTTTCAGGTTAAGAACAGACCTCCGGAACGAATTAAGTACGTAACCAGAGGTAAAGCTTTGGAATCTTATTTTTGGTCTGGACAATTTTTATTCGAAGAAGGGTCTGTTTTTATTCATCTTATTGCTTCAAGCTGCACAATATTAATACCTGCAGCAGTTCCTCATACTTAACACCTAGCTTAAGTCAAAAGGGGAACAGGGGTAAAAAAAGGTGGGTCAAAATGTACTCACATTTGACTGTGTTTGGTTTTTTGTTTGTTCATGTGAGTGTGCATTGTTCAGAGGAGGTTTCAAGCAACTACCAAAAGGACCAGTGTTCTGTCGAGCAGTTAAGTTGGCTTGTGGTCTTGAAATTCACTCTGCCCTGTCAAAGACTTCAGCAATAGGGCCTCCCCCATTTCACCATCCTTGGTTTCCCCCCATCCCCACGTTTATGGAATACCCTTTCCAGATAATTTTCCTTGGAACCTCTTAGGTTTAGGTTCTGATGTTCAAACCATCAATTTGAACAAATATTTTTACCTGAGCTTTTAATTGAACAGTGATGAGAAGACATTATCTGCTGCTACTGAAGTCTTACACAGTAACAATTTTATTGTTATTTTATCTCAGGTTTTTATGCTGCTTTCTGCCGGTTTTTACGAGGACACTTTACTGTTTTATTATCTTGTATCCTGTGATGTTTTATTCTTTTGAGAGCCACCATGTGACTTCTGTCTAGAAATGAAAGGTGAGTGACAAATGTCTGGAATAATAAATAAATAAATTCCGGCCTGTGTGCATCAAGGGAGAACTGGAATACAAATGAGCAATGGTATTGAAAAGGGCTATGCTAACCCTGAAAGTTTAATTTCCAAGTCGGGATAAAGGATGCTGTTAAAATTATAATGAAAGCCCACCAGTACTGACATTTCCCCCAGTCTCATCTTTGATACACAAAATCAGGCCACACAAAAACAGATGTGGTGGTGGTGGGGAAACCCAGCCAAAGCTGTAAGAAGAGCTCTATTGGATCAGACCAAAGCCCAGTCTTAGCTAACCTCGCAGTCGCTAGCCAGGTACCTGACAGGAAACACACAAGAAGCACATAAGGGCTCTGACTTGCTTGTGTATGGAAGGCCTACCAAGTTCTGTAGTCTGCTCTGCACAATGGCCAACCAGATACCTCTGGGGACTACACAACCAGGACATGAGGGCAACCAGGACAGTGTCGTGTGGTGAAATTTTTCATACCGGAACAGTTAGGGCCAGAGGCATTGGCTTGCGAGGGGCGGGGGGGGGGGGTTGATGTCATTCGTGCGATGTTGTGACATCTTGACATCGCGCAAGTGAGCATTGTACCTCCCTCCCTAAGCCAGGCAGAAGCTTCCCAGGCTTTGCGAAGGAGGCCCCAGGGAACATTTAGGAGACTAGCCTAGTCCCCTTAGTCCAATGACCGCACGCCACTGCCTGGTCAGGTATTTCCTATAGGTATCTGCTTGATATCACTCTGGGAATCACAGGATGGTAGAAAAGATGCTCCAGTTTAATGGGGAACCATTAAACTACAGCTGCAAGCATGGCCAATGACCTGGGGTGATTGGAGTTGTAGTTTAGCAACAGCTTGAAGGCGGAAATAGGTTAGTTGGTTAGACCATGGTTCGGATAATGCCAAGGTTGCAGGTTTGATCCCTGTATGGGACAGCTGCATTGCAGGGGGTTGGACTAGATCAGAAGTTGGCAACCTTATCCAAGGATGGGCCAGTCCACGCTCTGTCCATCGGAGGATGGGCTGGAGCATGTGCGCACGCGCACTCTTCCAGGTCGGAGGAGCACCCGTGCGCATGCACACACACTATTTCCGGCACTTCTCCGACCCGGAGGTGCGCCGGAAATAGCGTGTGCACATGCACACGGGCGCTTCTCTGTCCCACACGTGTGCACACCCAGCGCACATCTGGGTTGGAGGAAGCACTCGTGTACATGCGCACAAGCGCCATCAACCCAGAAGTCAGTCCCTGCACCGTGCCAGTAAGAACGAGGGGCAGGGGGCACCATGGACCAGTTAGACAAGCCTTGTGGGCTGCTACTGGCCCATAGGATAGAGATAGGCCTTTGGTCCAATCTAACTGAAGAAATGATAAATAGATGATAGATAGAGATAGATAGATAGATAGATAGATAGATAGATAGATAGATAGATAGATAGATGATAGATCGATAGATAGATAGATAGATAGATAGATAGATAGATAGATGATAGATAGATGATAGATAGATAGATAGATAGATAGATAGATAGATAGATGATAGATAGATGATAGATAGATGATATAGATAGATGATAGATAGATAGAGATAGATAGATAGATAGATGATAGATAGATAGATAGATGATAGATAGATAGATAGATAGATAGATAGATAGATGATAGATAGATAGATAGATGATAGATAGATAGATAGATAGATGATAGATAGATAGATAGATAGATAGATAGATAGATGATAGATAGATAGATAGAGATAGATGATAGATAGATAGATAGATAGATAGATAGATGATAGAAAGATAGACAGATATAGATATAGATAGATAGATAGATAGATAGATAGATAGATAGATAGATAGATGATAGATAGATAGATAGATAGATAGATAGATAGATGATAGATAGATAGATAGATAGATAGATAGATAGATAGATAGATAGATAGATAGATAGATAGAGATAGATGATAGATAGATAGATAGATAGATAGATGATAGAAAGATAGACAGATATAGATATAGATAGATAGATAGATAGATAGATAGATAGATGATAGATAGATAGATAGATAGATAGATGATAGATAGATGATAGATAGATAGATAGATAGATGATGATAGATAGATAGATAGATAGATAGATAGATAGATAGATGATAGATAGATGATAGATATAGAGATGATAGATAGATAGATAGATAGATAGATAGATAGATAGATAGATAGATAGAGATATCAGTGATAGGGGCTCTCAACACACACAAACGGTTTTCGTGCAGGCAACATACATCTTGAGGATAAGAAGGGGGAAATATCCATGTCAGAACAGTAGCTGAAAACTGAGTTTCCAAAAGGTGAAGATTGGATTCGAATTCCAACAACCAGCTCGGAATTGTTTGTCCTATTGATTTCTAGAGGATTTCAATACACATGACCCTATATATCTCCCTTTTTGTAATAGCTATTCCTTCCACCCCTTTGTTAGTTCCAGACTTTCGTTCTATAATAGAATCTGTTTCAGAGATGAGAAAGCTTGTTGTCTCTAATCATCAAATGTTTTTAATGTCAAAGCTTTGATGCCACAATACTCTACCCAGCGAGAGACAACAGAACCATATGGTTCTGTTTCATATTTCAAATGGTACTTAAATATGGCAGATCAAAAATATTTGCACTTGGCTGTTGCAATACAACACAAGTTTCTCCATTGATGTATTTTTCACAAGGTGACATACCTTGGGATACCTCTCGCTCTCTGAACTTTCCAGGCTGTTTAGCATCATCTATCTCATGGGCAATAAGTAGATCTTTTAAACCAAATTAGGACAATCTCTCCCTTATGTTTTGAAAGTATCTCAATCAAAATGAGAATTCTGTCTACACTATAATTGTGATCAGCTCTGCAGTTGAGCCTGTCCTCCTCCCTAAGACATATTTGTGTATTATGATTGCTGAACCTATATTCAAAAACTTACATTTTATTTCCTCTTCCAGACTGGGCGAAGAAAAGGAGAATGTGAGTACATAACAATGTTTCCAAATCTATGCCAACTATCAGCTAACTTTAAAAGACAAATCTTCTTCTTCTTTTATTTTTTTTTTATTCAAAGTTATAACAAAACATATTATCCAAAAACATATCCTTATTATCAGTAAAAAAATGTGAATGTTTATTCAAAACCTGCCAAGGAGTCCAGTTCGCTTTGTTGCATCTTCAGATACTTTGTGAAAGGTTCCCATTCATCCTTAAAGTCACAGTTATCCTTGCTCCATAGCTTATATGTCAATTTTGCCAGTTCTGCATAGTCCATCAATTTTTCTTGCCATGATTCTTTAGTTGGGGTTTCTTCAGTCTTCCATCCTTGTGCTACCAGAACTCTCGCGGCCGTTGTCGCATACATGAAAATGTTTTTCAACTTTTTTGGCAGGTCTTTCCCTACAATCCCCAACAAAAATGCCTCGGGTTTTTTTAACAAATGTTAAATGGAACATTTTCTTCAATTCATTGTATATCATTTCCCAAAATTTTTTAATTACCTTACAATCCCACCACATAAAAGACAAATCTTTACTATTGTATACGGGGCAGAGTTACCAGTGCTTTCACTAAACTCTCTTTATGGAATTCTCTCTTATGCTTTCTTCCAAACTGACAGAATTCCATTTATTTCAATGAAGTTTGCTCCATTTGCATCCCCCGCCCCCACCCCGGGTTCAAGAACATAGAAAGGTGTCAAGCTAGCTGATCCATCTAGCCCAGTACAGTGGTACCTCGGGTCACATACACTTCAGGTTACATACACTTCAGGTTCCAGACTCCGCTAACCCGGAAATAGTACCTCAGGTTAAGAACTTTGCTTCAGGATGAGACCAGAAATCGCACAGCGGTGGCAGCTGGAGGCTCCATTAGCTAAAGTGGTGCTTCAGGTTAAGAACAGTTTCAGGTTAAGAACAGACCTCCGGAACGAATTAAGTACGTAACCAGAGCTCCCACTGTACTAACTACTCTGACCGGCAACAGCTTTCCAGATTCACAGGCAGAGAGAAGACTCTTCTCCCAACAACTGCTACTCCACACCTCTTTGGACTAGGCATGCCAGGGATTGCATGGGAGGCTTCTCACTTGCAAATTATTTTATTTATTTATTTATTTGTACATACATACATACATACCCCGCCCATCTGGCTGGGTTTCCCCAGCCACCCTGGGCAGCTTCCAGCAGAATATTAAAATACATTGATTCATCAAAGCATGCGCCTGACCACCAAATTATGGTTCCTCCCCTAAAGTTCAGAAACCTTTAACACACAGTTGGGAGAATGGCTATTGACAAGCTGTTCCAGATGGCTAGCAAAATTCACATGCCAACTGCATACTGATATGGTCACAGTACCGAGCCGCACAAGTACATCAGTGCTCAGAGGCTGACAGCTTGCCCATTTAGGGATGCTCTTCAGAAACATTTTGGAGCACTCTCATCCTCATTTGTTCTGCGACCTACCAATAACCACCCAGATCCAATGTATGTTTTCTTGAAGTCCCACTGAGTTCAATGGGATTTTCTCTCCCCAAGTTTTTATTTTATTTTATTGTGCATAGGATTTCAGCCCTGGCGGCAGAAATCCCACAAGCCCAGCAATAACCGGTTGTTCAGTGGGTTTTTATTATTATTTATCCCTTTTTTGTTGTTTACCTTGCCCTACCTCGCAGCAGGGGATCTACTTTTATTCATTTATTTATTTAGGCAATTTCTCTCCTGACAGGCAAAAGCCTCTCCCAGCAGCTCAATGTGTTTTAAAACGCAACAATGATAAATAGAAATGCCCAAACAAAACAGGGCTAAGAGGAAGAGGGCAGATCAAAAGCAGCCCTTAAACAACTTAAAAATCCTGAGTGAATAAAAAGGTCTTTGCGCAGGACTGAAAAAGATGCTGAGGTCATTGTCGGGGGTGAGTTTCCCTGGGGAGAGGTTTCCAAAGTCAGAGGGTCACCTCAGGCCGCTAGACTTCTGAGGGAGTAGCAGAGAGAGAGATGAAGTGGGGAGAGAATGAACATGAGATGGGGTGTCATGGGGGAGAGAGAGAGAGAGAGAGAGAGAGAGAGAGAGAGAGAGAGAGAGAGAGAGAGAGAGAGAGAAGAGGTATGTTATGTACTGAGTTGAATAGGATCCAAAATGCAGCAGTCTGATTGGTCCTAGAACAATAGGATTCAGAATGCAGCAGTGTGATTGGTCCTAGAACAATGCAGCAGTCTGATTGGTCCTAGAACAATACAGCAGTATGATTGGTCTGCAGGAGCCACCCAATCCAGCTCCAGATGGAAGTGAATCCACAACCTGATTGGCCTACAGGAGAATTCCGGAATTAGCCAATCACGTGCAGCCCATTGTGTAAATAATGTATATAAAGCAGATACTGTGGGGAACTTCCATTCCTCCTCACCACTAATGAGCTGAATAAAGAGCATGAAATCCACTCTCGACTCCGAGTATATTTCAAGGTAGCACATAAAGAAATGGGGGATGGAGTGACTGGGACATAGGCATGCCATCTGGGGGCTGGGGGCATGTCCACTGTGAAATTTTCAAGGAAGGAGCTGGACCCCTCCAAATTCCCTGGTGGCTGTAGTCACACGCCACAGGGTGTGCACACAGCACATCAGTGTGCATGAGGCATGCTGACATCACACAGCCCTGGCCCCCTCCATTGCAACAGCAGAGAAGGGAAACTGAGCAGGGAGAGTGAGGTGGTGGTGGCAATTTACCACCAGCTCACCATTGACTATTGCCCCCCGACTTTCTTTCCCTCAGCCATCCGCAAGACAAATCCGTGCATTGGTGGAACCACCACTGTTCCAACAGACTAAATTCCAGTTTGAAACGGATTCAGCTATGTAGGTTTTTTGTTGTTGTTTAGTCATTTAGTCGTGTCCGACTCT